CCAGCTCACTTGATTATCCTAACCTCACTGTCTTCATCAAGGAGAAAGCCAGAGCACCAGGGAGTGGGGGAATCAGGCTCTAGTCCTGGAACTCAGTGTTTGAGTGGGAAGTGGGTCTGAGCTGAGAGGGCATATATCATTTCCCTAAGATCCAGGAGTTAGTTTATTAGAGTTGGACACCTGAGCAAAAGCAGGAATTGGAGACTCTGACCCTGGCATAGAAGCACTGACCCCCATGTGTTGTTTTCATGAAGAAAAGCACAAGTGTTTTCTAGCAACTGGCACAGGCACAGTGACAAAGGGGACAGGCAAGAGGAGCCCTGTTGCTTTCAGAGGGTCAGGGCAGCTCTGTCATTCTCTTTGCTGCTTTTCTGTACCTACTGGAAAGTTCTCACTGCCCAGCTGAGTCAAGAGGAGCAGGGGTGTACATGCAAGCAGAACTGAGCCTGTTTCATATTCACTGTGGAGCGAGACAGGCTGGGCAGGGAGAGAGGAGGAGGCTCACACAGGCACTTTCCAGTGCCCTAAACACAACTTCTGCCAACTTTTGGGCTCAGTATTGCCCAAAGGTCTGTGAAATATAACAGACCTCTGGTCACAGGGAGCCCTTTGTCACCCCTTCAGGTGACCAGTAATGTGATCCTTTACTGATGATGGTAGCTTTCGCTTTCTCCTTCCTGGAAGAGACTGAGTTGCTAAGAAGACAAATAAGTGTGAACTTTCCCCTCCCCCCCCCTTTTCATTCCTGTTCTTGTTTAATGAACTGGAGGTTTTGAGTGACAGCCAGAAGCTGTCCCTCTATTTTACTTCCCTCTAAGCCCTTGGCCTGGGGAGAAATCAGGCTACTGCTAGTCTCTGGCTGATTTCGATCTTTGTCTATAGAGACTGGTAGGGGCTGTCTATCTGTCCTGCCTTCTTTATGTGATTTCCATAAGAACAAATAGGAAAAGGTCTCAGGGCAGTAAAGGAAGATCAGAAGGAGAGTTTCTGGAACCTTCTATGTCAGTGAGCCAAAATTCCAACCCAATCCTCTCATGCTCTTGCTCCTGGGTAGGAACCAAGGCGGACACAGCAGGGCTTGTATGATTGGGCATCAGGGAAAGGCTCCTTAAGGCAGGATGACATAATGGCTGGATGCAGTGTGTGAGCACAGAGGATAATCAGAACACAGGCAGCCTGTCCTTGAAAATGCCATTTGTATTTGGGTGAGGCAGTCTGGAGTTAGACCTCCCTGACGAGGCTAGGCTGAGGGTTAATGCATGTTTAGAAGCTTCGTGGGTAAACTGGGCCTTGGGGACACATGCATAATCTAATCAGTTGGGAGACAGAGGTAAGAAGAGCTTGAGTTGCAGACTTCTACCTTGTATTATAATAGCAAGTTCCAGGCCAGCTTTGGCTTCATAGTGAGACTTTTCTTTTTGTTTTTTTTTTTGTTTTTGTTTTTTTGAGACAGCATCTCTCTGTGTAGCCCTGGCTGTCCTGGAACTTGCTCTATAGACCAGGCTGGCCTCGAACTCATAGACATTCACCTGTCTCTGACTCCTCAAGTGAGATTAAAGGCATGCACCACCACACCCCAGCAAGATTTTTTTAAAAAAAGATTAATTTATTTTATGTATCCAAATGTTTTGCATGTGTGCATATGCACACTGTGTGCGTGCCTGGTGCTTTCAGAGGTCAGAAGAGGATGCTAGATCCCCTGGAACTGGAGTTAAGGACAGTTGTAAACCACCATGCAGGTGCTGGGGACTGAGCCTGGGGTCTTTTGCAAGAATAGAAAGTGCTCTTTTTTGTTTTTTGAGATAGGGTTTCTCTGTGGCTTTGGAGGCTGCCCTGGAACTAGCTCTTTATAGATCAGGCTGGTCCCAAACTCTGCCTCCCGAGTGCTGGGATTAAATGCATGGGCTACCATCACCTGGCTGAAAGTGCTCTTTTTGAAAAATGTTTTTGGAGATCGAATCTCACTGTGGCCCCCATGGTCTAGAACTCTCAATGTAGACCAGGCTGGTCTTGAATCCACAGAACTCCACCTGCATCTGCCTCCTGAGTGCTGGAACTAAAGGCATGAGCTACCATGACCAACACAGACCCTTAACATCTGAGTTATTCAAGATCCTACTTCAATAGGCTTTTGTTTTGATTAATCATTAATTCACTGTAGATAGAAAGGGAAGGTCAACGACCATAAAACACACAGTCCTCTTGTTTCTCTGTTTACTTTCTCTGATACTGAAGTGACGGTGGGAACTGCCTTTCTCTTGCCCCTCCCCCCTTTCGTTCAATAATGATATCCTGGTACTGTTCCTCCATTGCCACACCAGGTTACACTTCACAGAAAGATTCATGCTGATTCACTCTGGCTTATCTGGGCCTTGTACATTGCTGGCTGACCTGTCAGTCACAATATCACACCTATCATATGTGGAGGCATGCCCTTGTGCAGACACATGCACAAATCCGTATCCACATGCACACACACACACACACACACACACACACACACACACACACACCCCTTGCAGCCACAGGGCCTTGTACCCACTATTGTGACAGGCTAATGAAGTCATCCTCCAAAGCATCCATCCTTTGCTTTGTGACTATAGAAAGGGACCTAGTATTTCTGTCAGGTGTAATGTAGGTATTTCAGCTCCAAGCTCAGCAAACTTAGTTTCTCATGGATATTATTATTATTATTATTATTATTATTATTATTATTATTATTATGGTTTTTAGAGGCAGGATTTCTGTGCAGCCCTGGCTGTCTTGGAACTCTGTAGACCAGGCTGGCCTTCAACTCAGAGATCCACCTGCCTCTGCCTGCTGGAGTGCTAGGATTAAAGGCATGCACCACCGCCACCACCAACCAGTTGTCCTTGTTCTTATGTGTGACACCGACTCACTCACAGAAGGCTTGTCTACTGCAGCACGGATGATGCTCTGACAGTAAGGGCTTCCTGGTTTCCTGCTCTCACAGAGTTAAGGACACATGCTATTCTTTCCTCCCACAAAGCACCCACAGAGGTATTCTATCACATGCTGTCATGCTTAGAGCTCTAGTTATCATGAAGACACAGCTCAATTCTTCAGCATACAGAACTGTACTTTGTCTACCACAAGGAAAGCATGGTGTTTACAAGTTGGGGATCAAAAAGGAGTTTACCTCTTCTGCAGCTGTTCCCTCCTGGCTGTGACCTCATACTGGATGCTGGACTCAGTGAACTTAGGAAGTGTGTGCAACAGAATCTCACCTGGTTTGGAGGAGGTGGTTTCTCTCAGCACTTCCTGGCGAGGCGGAGCAGTTTCTCTCTTCGTCGCCTTTTCAAAATCTCATTTACTTGTCTGCTATTTCGGCTTTTATCATTCATGACAAGATCATTTTGCAGTTGCGAAGTAATTGCCTTTCCATTCTCTGAAGGGATAGAGAGTGGGGTTATTTTCTTGTGTAATATTTTAGTTTTCTAATAATGAACACATTTTGGCCTGGCTCACATATTTCACATAAAAAAATGTCTCTCTTAGGGATAACCAGTTTTCTCTAGGGATGAGACTCTTGATGGGTTATCTAGTCCCAAGTGATCAGCCCTGAACACTTACATGGACAAGCAAGCGTGAGTGTGTGTTTGTGTGTGTGTGATGTATGTATGTGTGTAGCAATAATTAAAGAAAAGGGGTTATAAGTCTTAGATGAAGTTGAGGATTGTGGGAGAAGTCAGAGGGGGAAATGGAGGTATGAAAATGATGTAAATAGAGTATGGAAGTCTCAAAAAATGTTAAATTAAAAAAAAAAAAAAAAGGACATACAAAAAGTTCTTTCCTGATGTAGCCGGTAGGCGTCACTATGGTCCCATTTTTCATTCTCTCTAGCACTACCAGCTCAGCATCTATCCATGTGAAAACTGTGGACAAGGACGGTGTGAGGTGTGATTAAGGGTGATTAAGGGTAGGAGTTCACAGGCTCAGTCATGTGACTTTTCTGGAGAGATGGGAACAGTCACCTCTTCCCCCCAGATACAGCAAAGATGTTTCCTCCAAGCCTGTCTTAGTCAACCAGCAAACATTCTGGGGTGATTTGCAGAAGCTTGGGTGACTGAAGTCTGTGGCCTCACTGAGAGAGCCATCCACTGGGGGTGATGACACGTGAACACTGCATCCTTGGAAGCTCCTGTGCAAGGTGTAGACAGCTAGCTCTACTGCAGAAAGTCTCCTCTTTCCTAGCAAGTGTTTTTGCTGCTCATATAACCTTGGGGGAAGGATGTGTGAGTCTTGACCCCTTGAGCTTCTTGAGTATCTAATTTTCCTTAGGTCCTTGGGTTTTATGAGCCTCTCTCCTCCCTTCAGGAGGGAGTGACTATTTCAGTCCAGGGAAAGCAGCTATGCAGCACAGATTGGACTTACGATTTACATGGTACACTACCAATTTTTTTTTATTTTTTTTATTTTTTCAAGACAGGGTTTCTCTGTGCAGCTCTGGCTGTCCTGGAACTCGATCTGTAGACAGGCTGACATGGAACTCAAAGAGATCCTCCTGCCTCTGCCTTCTGAGTGCTGGGATTACAGGTGAGCACCACCACCACCAAGTCAAATTTTGGGTTTTATTCCCCGTTTGTCCAGCAGGAGGAGCTGGACAAAGACTGAGCTAAAAAAAGTGTGTTGATTTATTCTAGAAAGACTTGACATGCCTCCTCATGACTGACAATGTCAGTATCGCACAGGGCATGTATTGGGAAACTGGATAGAAGGGAACTGGAAAAGCTCCCACTGCATTAATGTAATGTACAAGGGAACGAGTCTGTGCCTGACTGTGGAGCTGCTTCTCAGTGCAGATAAAACACTTGAGCTGAGTCAAATC